CCCCAAAAAAATATTCACCCCATTTCGCCTTGGGGGAATTTACGGGGTGTTTACCCTGGGGCAAATTCCCCCTATAGTTAGTATTGTTCGTATAAAAATAGATGACGATGTTGACTTACCCAGTTAAACTGAAAGAACCCCCCATTATAAGCTTTTTCCAATTTTCATTTTATTTATTCCAGAAGTTTTTATTAATTTTGATTAAAAAAGATTTACAATTTTTCGTTTTTTGCCCTAAAAAAAAATTATTTTAAAAAAAATAAACCAAATTTAAACATAAAAAAATAAAAACCTATCGGCTGTCTATTTCTTTGAAAACAATCCGACAAGGAATCCAGGTTAAAATATATAACTTTTTTCTGTTTTTGTTTTTTTTTGGACGGATAGGTGGGAAGTAAAATCATATCATTTCGTTTTTAAAAAAAATTTTTTTTCGAAAATAATTTTTTTTAAATTTTTTATTTTAAATTCGAAAAAAAAAAATTTTGTTTTATATAAATAATTAACATATCAATTTCGTAAATTAGCTTTAATATTATAAAATATTAATAAAACATTCATATTTGGAAGTCTGTTAGGTAAAAAAAAAAAACTTTAAAAAAAATGTGTTGTATAATAAATGAGGTATTTAAAAGATTTTATATATATAAAATCTTAAATATAAAGAAATATTTTTTGTGTGTCAAAAAATTTTAATAATTTATTTAAATTTTTGTGATTGGTTTTTTAATTAGTCAAAAAAAAATAATGAAAATTAATTTCTTTATTTTATCTTTTTTTCAGATATTTACTATTGATTAATTTATTATTATTTTTTAAACAATGACTTTTGCATTTGTTTAATTTTATTTTTTTTTTTTTTTAAAAAATAAAATAAATATATTAAATTTTTATTTTTTTTGTTGTGTTTTTAAACACCAAAAAAATTTTTATTTTTTATTTTATTTTTTATTTTTTTTAATTTCTAATTTTTTATTATCAATATTAGGTATACCAAAAGCTAAAGATATATAATGCTTTCTAAACACCAATAATAAAAATAAAAAACCTTTTTAATTTTATCATTTACATTATTTTATTAATTTTATTATAATAATCTTGTAATTTTCAAGGGCAGCTCTCGATATTTGATTATTTTCCCCTTTTGATCATTTTTTCTTAAGAAGGTTTGTCTTTTTTCCATCGATTTTGGTGATTCATATCTAATAATACTCTCAAAGTGTGGAAACTTTTGATATTTTCTTCCGATCTATACCACTTTTTTCCCTCTATCGTCGGAAATCCACGCCCTAAAAAAGGTTTTGTATTTGTTGAGGTTATAATTATAAAAAAAAATTAAAATATTTTAGAATGTACATATAGTCCAATTCAATATGACCATTGTTTGGATAGAATATAAAGGTTCGAAAATATTAAAAATTCGAAAATATTAAAAATTAATACAACCACATATTGGTATAGTAATATGTCTAATTACACATATATAACCAAAAATACTAATTTATTTAATAATTTAAAATAATTATTTTATACTAAAATTAATTATTGTTATTGTTATTATTATTGTTATTGTTATTATTATCTTTTTTATTATTATAACTATTTATCTAATTATCGTTTAGTTTTAAAATTTGTAAATTTACAGATTGAAATAAGTTTCTTCTAATTTTATTTTTTATAAGTCTACATCTTGGACATTGTTCTACTTCATGGGGGAAAGAGATATGATGATCTTTTTTAACATGGATATGGTGATGGTGTTTTGATACGGCTGCATAACAACCAGTATGGTCACAAAGTTTTTGAGTACGGTCTAAAACAGGAGTTGGGATTTCTTTAACTTTTATTAGATCGAAATGGTTTATCATTAAATGACTCTTGAAATTGGATCTTGTATTACAAATGAATTGATCTTTTAAGCAGTCACCATAAATACATTTGTAACGTTCATCACCACCATCTCGGTATTGGCACTCATCACACATTGTTCCAAGTTGAAATCTATATCTATTTCTGAAATCGTCTTCATTTGTTCCTCTATAGTTGTCAAATAATATTTGGCAAAATGATTTTGATATTTTGGATAAAATTGTAGGGTCTATAATTTCAATATCTTCCATTTTCAAATTATCAAATATAATATCTTGATTTTTTAATTTGTTTATTAAAAACAATCTTCTTTCTTCAATCTCTTCTGATTTGTAATAAGTTGTTATTTTTGGTTCATTTATTGTTGCTTTTGAATAAATTTTAATTTGGTTCTTTTTCTCTTTTTTAACTTTATTATTTGATTTATTACTACTATTATTAAAATTTATATTGTTGTTATTCTTGAAATTATTATAATCATTATAAACGTTGTATTTAGTTTGATTGGTATTATTTGAAAAATAAATATTTCGAGGAGGAGTTTGCTGTTGCTGCTTTTGTTGTTGTGTAAAGTTTTCATTGTTATTTGATGTGGCTGATAGTTCTAGTATCATATTTTTATAGTTTTCTAATTCTTCATTTTGTTGAGTTAATAAATCTTTTTTTTCATTTAGTTCGTCTTCTGCTATTAAATTGATTATTTTTAGTTTATCTTTTTCTGTTAAAATTTCATTTTTACTATTTGAATTTTTATAACTTTGAACCTTAATTATATAGTCTTTTTGTTCTTCTCCTTCATCTGATTCTTGTTGTTGATTGTTTATAACCAAATTAAATATATCTTTTTTATTGTTATTAATGGTATTGTTTTTATTTGGTTTTGTATGTAAATTTAATGGTTTGAAATAAATATTTTTCTTTAAATCTGATGACAATATCGGTGAGGATGATTTTTCATTTTCACTATCGTAAAATTCATAATCACTCGAAGTATCATTATCTTTATTATTGTTTTTATTTTTATTATTATTAATAATAATATTATTATTATTATTATTATTATTATTATTATTATTATTATTATTATTATTATTATTATTATTATTATTATTATTATTATTATTAATAGTACTATTTTGTGTGTGTTTAAATGGGCCTATGGCTCCACCAATACAAGAATCTTTATTTGCTGTTGAAGTTGTAGTGGGAATTAATTTGGAATTTGATTGTGATTTTGATGGTGAAGAAATATTATCACTATTTAGATATGAATAAAATGAATCCATTTTATTTTTCTAATTTTTTTTTAAAATTTTTTTTTTTTTTAAAAATTTGGGGTGGGGGTATCAATTAAAAAAAAAAAAAAAAAATTGAAAAATTTTTAAAACTAAAAAAAAAAAATTTTAGATTAAAAGATAATGGAATTACTATATTTAAACTATAATAATTATAATGTATATTTTAAGATAATAATTAAGAAAATAAAGGAAAAAATAAAAAAAATAAAAAAAATAAAATTAGAAAAAAAAAAAAAAAAAAAAAAGTAAATTCTATTAACACACCAACACACTTTGTGTTAATATGCTAATTTTTATTTATTTTGAAAATTATTATTTACTTAATTGGTAAAGAAATAAAATTTAATAAAAAACATTACCCCCAGTAAATTAAAATACCCCCAAATTTCTTTTTTTTTTTTCATTTAATCCATTGTGTGTTGTGTGTATGTGTAAGTGTTAACTATTCAAACACACATTTTTTAATACAATTTTTTTTGTTTTTTTGTTTAATAAATGTGGGTGTTATAATATTTTGTGTGTATATATGAATTAAATATAGTGCACATGTGTAAATTATTATCATCTAAGCATTTCATAATTAAATCTCACATGGATGCAAACTTTTTTTGTTTAATATTTTTTTTAAATAATTTAATTTTTTATACTTTGAAATTATTATTATAATAATTAATAATAATAAAATTATCACAACTAATATTATTGTTAAATATTTAAAAAAATCCAAAAGTGCTATTATAATAAAAAAAAAAATTAATAATTTTAATTTTAAATAATAAATATTACTTTTATATATATTAATAAATCAGGGCTTTTATTTTAGTGATATAAAAATTTTAATCATTTGACAATTTTTTTATTTTTTTTTTTTATTTAATTTTTTTATAATTTAAATAAAAAAAAAAAAAATTTTGATTTAATTTTTTTTGAATGAGATTATATATTGATTGATGATATCAGCTAAGTTGATCTTTACTTTTTCTTTAATTATAATACATCTTGGGCATTTTTCGACTTCAGATGGTGTGCATAGATGGTGATCGACCTGAATAAAAAAAAAAAAATATTAATTACTATTTTTATAGATTTAGTAAAATATATATTATACCACCCTTATGTGTTTATAAAATTGTAATTTTGATACCATCATTTTGCATCCGGTATGATCACATTCTTTTTGATTTTCTTCTGGTCTATTATTAACTTGTCTTTTTTTAACTATTTCCAAATGATTCGAGAGAAGATGTTTATTAAAATAAGCCTTTGCTTTACAAACAAAACCTTTGTTTCTACATTGCTCTAGTTGACATTGGTATTTATCGGGGGCCACTAAAAATTCGTTACATATATCATCCAATTGAAATTTAAAGATTAGCTTCAAATCTTTGTTTGGGACTCTATATTTGTCAAATAAAATTAAGCAGAATTGTTTTGTCATCTTTGATAATATTTTTGAATCAATTGTTTGAATTTGTTCAGTATTTAATTCTGAAATTGATATTTGATTTGCAGTTATAGATTGAATAAGTTTTATTTTGTTTTCTATGTTAATTGGATTTTCTAGAATTGCTTTAATTTTTTTTTTCTTTTTAATTTTTTCATTATTTACATCATTTTGATTTTTATTATTAATTGTGATGTTTGGATTTATTTGAAAATCATCAATATCATCTTCATTATTTATATAATATAAGAGATGTTCTATTTTTTGTTTTTTAAAATTAGATAAATAGTGATTGCAACCATTATCAATTTTAATTTCTTTTTTTGAATGGTGTGGTGGGGGTAATTCCTGTTGTGAAAGCACCGCTGATGGGTGTATAAATGATGGTGGAATAAAATTAAAATGAGATGATGGAGAGTTCGAAGGTGATGATGATGGAGATGTAGATCTTGATGAAGATCGAGAAGTTGATTGAGATGATGATGGAGATAGATAATGGGGAAAACCTAATGGAGCTGTTACACTATTTTCTAATAGAGGAAAATTAATATTTTTATTTAAATTTTTAAAGTTATTGGGATCCATTCCATTATATATATTTTTAAAAACTGTTGATTGCACAAATTAATAAAAAATTAAAAAAATTAACTCCTTTTTTAAATGCAATTTTTAAAAAAAAAAAAAAAAAAAAAAAAAAAAAAACCAATTATATTTGTTTCATTAAATTATAAATTATAAACTTAAATACAAAAAAGGACAACACATTAAGTGTGGTATTTGAAAAAATTAAAAATTGAAATTAAAAAAAAAAAAAATTAAAAAAAGGGGAGAGGTATAATAAATTTGTTTTTATAATCCAAAAATGAAAAAAAAGTGGGTTTGTTTAAAATCTGTTAACCAAACTGGTTAGGTGAAATAATAAAAACTAAATACTATTTTAATATAATGTAAAAACTTTAATGAGATAACAGTTAATTTATTGTTAAGTTGATCATTTCAAAGTCTAATTGGTAAAAATTATATTATGTAATTACATTTAATTATATTACTTTATATATTAAAAAAAAAAATAGATTCTTCTTAATTCAGGATGAATATTTTTTTTACCTAATATATCCACAGATATATTAAAAAAAAAAAATATATATTTTTTTAAAAATTTAAGATATCGTTATTAACAATGGGTTAAGTTCAAATAATAATTTTTTTTTTAAAAAATATTTTTATTTTTTTAAATATTAAAAATATTGAATCATACTATTAAACATTATTTAATTTATTTTTTTCGACTCCAATATAGCAAATTTAATTTTATAAAAAAAAAATATAATTAATGATTAAATTTAAAAAAAAAAAAAAAAAAAAAAAAACTAATATTTTTTATTTATGGAACAGTTTTGTAAATTTTTTTAAAGTTTTTAAAGTACCATTTGTTGTTTCATTGTTATTACATAAATATTTTAATTGAATATATTTTATATTTGAAATATTTTGATTATTTATATCTTGATTTAATTTATTATTGTTATTGTTATAATTATTATTATTATTATTTATATTATTGTTATTATTTAATTTTAAAAGTAATAATAAAGAATTGGTTGAATAATTTAAAAATAAATTATCTATAAAGGTTATTGGAAAGTTTTGTAAAGAGTGTAATAATGTTGATTGGTTGAGATTATTATAATTGAATAATTTAATTTCAAAAGCTAAATAATTGAATATACTAAACTCTTCTTTTTCTAAAGCAAAATTACCCAAACCTAAAATATATTGATAGTACCATTGATATACCAATTGATTTAAATTTTCATCTTTATTTGATAGTCCTATGGGTGTTGTATCAAAAAATATATGTGGAAAATGTTTGAAAAATTTCTTTATGACCTGCAACTGACCTCTTTCGATCAAACCATTTAAGATCTGCTTTAAACAATTTATATGATGATTGGATTGGATGAAATAGATGGGGGTTGAAAAAAGCTTTGTCATTATAGGCCTAATAACTTGTTTATATTGATTTTTACTAAATAGGTTTGATATTGAATGGGGTGTAAAATCCCCATTATTTTCAAACCATTCTTTATAGTTTTCTTTCAAAAATTCTCTATAAAAATATTCATTCGAGATTAATAATGGGACTGAGGTATTTGAATTTCTATATCCTATAAGCTGAGGTGTAATTAAAATGTCGTTATATTTGTTGGGATTTTCTTCAATTGTTTTTTGCGGTATTGAAATTAAAATCTTTAAAATCTTTTTACTGAGACCAAATGAACAAATGGAGGGTGGTATTCTTTCGTCTCGGTTACAGATTAAATACTCTAATACATTTTCGTGTCTGGATGCTCTAATATACGATGTTTCTGTCAAATCGAATTTTGGATTGGATGATAATATTTTAATGATTTCTAAATTACAGTAAATAGTTGCAGTATTGAATGATAATTGATAATTGATTATATGCTCCATATGCTTTAATAAAAACTCTACAATTTCTGGATTCTTTGATAATGAACTATTAAAAACATCTTGATCCCAATGAAAGTGTGCTCTATTATTATAAACAAATTGGAATATTTCCATGTTACCACGCGAAGCCGCATGAGATGCACCATTTCTTGAAACTTTTAGAGTACCGAACGAATCTATATATTGGCCCACTTCGTTCTCTACAATTAATTTGAACACCACTGCTATATCATCCAATGGATAATGTAGTATCATTGTATCAAACAATGAAATAATAACAGAAGTTATAATATCTTGTTGTTGTTCGGATGAAATTGGATTTGATGCTCTTAGTAGGGGCGATAAAGTATCAAAACTTGACTGCTTAGGAATACCACTATAACTTCTTCTCTTGTTCCCACGGACAACGCTACTGTAATACTGTATTAAATTTTCAATAAAAACCAAAGTTTCTTTTCTTGACTCGTTCAATTCATCCAAAGTATTTCTTAATAACCTTGATTTCATTGGCTTTATGTATAAACGTTCATCGGGTGGCGATTTTAATAGAAATGAATTTATAAAATCACCACTTGTAGGTAAATTCCTTATTAATTCTAAAACGATATCTAAATTTAAATACTCTATTGACATTTCAAAAAGATTGGTAAATCTGAACCTATCATGAAATGCTTTACCAAGGGGTAGATTTGATTTAAGCTGAGTTATATCGTTGAATTGAATTGCATATCTTGCTTTTAATAAATAGAGCTCTTCCTCGTCAAACATTTGATGCTTGTTATTTTGATGTAATACAACTTTGATAAATAAAATATATAACCTTTTAAATTGCTCTACAACTAATGAATTTGGTAAATTTGGTTGGATTAAAAAATCTTGTAAATTTAAATCTGAACTATAATCTACCGAATTAAATTTTTTTTGATATAATATAAATATTTGACATGTTAAATATAATGAATTTAATTCATTTATTAATTTTAAAAATTTATTATTATTATTATTATTATATTTATTGCTATTGTAATTATTTTTTTGTTGTTGAAACTGTTGTAAATATTCTTGAATTTCAATATCTTTATAATCTTTATAAATTTTATTCTTTTTATTTTTAAATATTAATATTGGGCTGTTGGTTCTAAATATTTCTTTTGAATTTGTATTGAAAAGATTAATAGTTTCAAAGTATTGGATTACTTGAAAATCTACATCAAAGAGATACTGTTCAATTATTTTTGAATCCATTTTTGTAAAGGTTTGATTTTTTACACCTGGTATTAATAACTTGTTATCTAAGAGATATCGTAACATTGCGGATCTTTTTTCTGATTGGAATGAGTTACCTATTAATCTTGACTCGGTATATTTACATTTCCTCTTTAATAAATAATCTACAATTTCTATATGACCATTATAAACTGATGTATCAATTGCTAATTCATTACAATAGTAATTTGGATAAAAGTCCCACAGTATTATTATAGCTTCAAAATTACCACTTTCTGATAATAAGTTTATTAAATCGAAATATTTTAAATGACTTTCGAAATAATTATTAAATATAGTTTTTATAATTTCATTATTACTATTATTATTATTATTATTATTATTATTATTATTATTATTATTATTATTATTATTATTATTATTATCTTGTTTTATTAATTTAAACAATTGAACAATTGATCTTTTATTAAATGTTAAATTTTTATAATTTGATTTTATTTTATAAAACAATAGTTCTGTATGGTAGTTATTTATTATCCATTCTACTGAATCAATTTCATTATATTTTATTGATATTCTATTTTCAATCCTATTAATCTCTTCTACCCATTTAAATATTTTATTTATTAAAAATTTATTATTTATAACTTTTAAAAATTCATTATTACTATTATTATTACTACCCATTTATTATTACTTTTTTCATATGTATTATTATTTATGTTTTATGTTTTATGTTTATCTGGAACAATAATTTGAAAAAAAAAATTAAATTAAAAAAAAAAATTAACTGAAATGTTTTTTATTTTTTTTTTTTTTATTTTTTTTTATTTTTTTTTTTATAAAAACTTAAAAGGTTTGATAATATCTAAAAAAGTGTTGTAATTTGGAAATCAAATATTTGATATATTTATGATCTTAAATCAACGATTAAAATAACTTTTTTTATTTTTTTATTTTTTTTTTTTTGGTAAAATAATATTATTTTATATTTTTAAATTATTGAATATTATTATTTTTATGTTTTATTTTAAATCATTAATAATCCATCTTTCTTTGTGATTAAAATATATATTAATTAAATAAAATCATATGATCAATTTAAAAAAAAAAAAAAAAAAAAAAGAAAAAAAAAAATGGAAAATATTTTTTTTTTTTTCTTTTTTTTTTTTTTTAATTTTTTTTTTAATAAATTTTTTTTAATTTTTTTTTTTAAATATTTAAATATTTATTTTAATATTGAAATACAACAAAATAAAAATGAGTGGTAACTCTGGATTAGGTGATGAAGTAGATAGTAGGTTTTTAAAAGTTAATTTATTATATAATATAAACTCAATACTAATATTAATTTTATTTTTTTATAGAAAAATTAATTGTTGTTTTAAGAGATGGAAGAAAGTTCATTGGTATGATGAGAACTTTTGATCAATTCGCCAATATTGTTTTACAAGATACTATAGAAAGAATTTATGTAGGCGATTGTTATAGTGATAAAAATTTAGGTGTTTTCTTTATTAGAGGTGATAATGTTGTAATTTTAGGTGAAATTGTAAATATCAAATTTAAATTATACCCATTAATAGTTTTTTTATTAAAATAAATTTTTAACAAAACTTTATATTAATGTCTAGGACCCAGATAGAGAAGTTCAAGAAAAGAAATTAAAAAAAGTATCATGGGATGAAATTACAAAAGCAGCAGCATTAGAAAAACAAAAGAAAGAAGAAGAAGAACTTTTAAAGAGAAAGATTATGACAGAAAGTGGTTTAACAATCGACTCAATTTTAAATATTGATGATTTCTAACTTTAGTTTTATAATAATAATAATAATAATATAATTTTTAAAAATAATAATAATGACCTCAATTTTATAATATAATAATATCTCACTTCTCCATCCAATCATACCCAACCAAATAATATTAATGTATATACATTGTAAAAAAAAAAAAAAAAAAAAAAAGGATTTAAAAATTCCAATACCAAATAATTAAAAAGAAAAAAAAAAGAAAAAAAAAAAAAAAAGAACCAGATAACTTTTCTTTTTTATTTTTTTTCTTTTTTATCTTTTTCTTTTTTTTTTTTTTAATAAAAATTATAATTTTTTTTTTTATAAAAATACAATATTTGTTATTATTATTATATGTATAATTTGTACATTTTTTTTATTTAATTTTTAGTTAATATTAATGGTATTTCTTTTGAAAATGGTTGCTTTCTTAATGTTATTTTTAAAGAGTAAAGATTTGAAATATTTGGTAATATGATGGTTGGTAGAATATTGTCTGGTATTGGAAAAACAATTGTATTTTGATACTTGGTGCTTGGATAAAAATAAAAATCTCCTGTTTTATATTTTATCGATGATATTGTACCTGTATGTTGACATTGTATAGAGTTATCACCTTCGTTAATATTGTCATCGTTGAGGATAATGACCCTGTTGATGTTGATTTTTCATTGTTGCAAATATTACTATTACCCTAACTATTATTTATGTTGATGTTGTTTCATGTTCGTTACTATCTTCATCTTCCATTATTATTGTTATTATTATTACTATTATTTAAACCATTACTATTTAACCATGATATTTGTTTATTGATCAATTGAATTTTCATACCCTTTATAATTGATTGATTTTTATTTAAAACTGATATATATAGTGAGATATTGGACCCAATTGTAAAACTATTATTAAATAATAAACGTGATTTTATAGTAATATTAGAATGGGTCAATCGATGAGTTGGTATTGGCAATGATGGATTTGAAAATGTTGATATTAATGAATTTAATGAATTTGATGATAAAGAGTTTGATTTAGATAAATAAAATGAATGGCAATCACCACTATTCAAATTATTATTGATATTATTATTATTATTACTATGGTTATTATTATTATTATTATTATTATTATTATTATTATTGTTATTGTTATTGTTATTATGGTTATTAGAAACATTAGAATTATTATTGCTCATATTATTATTACCAATATTAGTATTACCACAATTGCCATTATCTTGGTTATCTTGATTATTTAATAAATTATCACTATTGTCATTTTGATATAATAAACTATTATTAATTTGAAAGAATGAATATGGGTTTATTACTGATAATGGTACATAGGTTTGAATACCTTTAATTAATGAGTCATCTGAGTTAAATTTACTATTTCTTAATTCACCCAAACCAGATATAACTACTCTATAAAATATCCCATTCTTTGGATCCTTATTGATGTGGAAACTAGTTGGACAGTGTTGAGGTATTGAAATTCTGACAATGAAAACATGATTCCTTTTTCCGCACTCTTGATGCTCGCATGTACGATTTGGAATCACTAATGGTGGCTCTACCTTATTCTCGTCGACTTCTGGTAATGGCTCTAGTAATGTAATTTCCTCCTGTGATTGACTTAAAGGAGAGGGGGGATAATATTGATAAATTTCATATTGTTATCTATCACTACTCTTCATATTTATTATTATTATACTATTATTATTATATTATATTATTATTATTAATAATTATATTATATTATTATGCCCACTATTATTTGTTTTGCCGATGGGCCCCCCAACATTTAAATTTTTTAAACTACTTCTTAAACTACGAATATTATTATTATTGAAATTATTGGTACCCTCTAATTCATTTTTAGCACTGTTATGATTATAATGATTTAAATAATGGTTTTGTGATGCAATGGTTGGATATAAATAAAAATCTTGCGATACTATTGTATTTTTTGAAAACAATTTTGTTTTTGTACTATGACTGGTTGATACTGATTCAAAAGTTGCCTTTAAATACTGTAAATTTTTAACCTTAACCCTTAATTCCATTTCAATCGTTTCTCCTGCGTAAAATACTCTATGTCCACCGACAAATGAGATATCGAAATGATTAAAGTCATTTTGATCATCTTCATACCAATGAGCTTTTTTATTATGAAATTGGCTGTGATGGATATTATTATTATTAATAATATTATTATTATTAATATTATTCGTATTCGTATTATTATTTAAACTATTATTATTATTACTATTTAAAATATTGCTATTATTATTACTTGTATTCAAAGTATAGTTATTACCTATATTAAAAAAATGTTGTTGATCATTTATATTTATATTTGGTGAAGTATAAGAAGATGCGGACGTATTTGTTGAAGATGAAGAAAAATATGATGGAGTAGAGGTTGAAGATGTTGGTGAAAAATTATTATTATTGCTATTATTACTACAACAATTATTATTGCTGTTATTATTTATCGTATTAATTATATTTATATTATTTTTTTCTTCCCATATTAAATTATCATTTAAAAAATTTGAAGATTGTGAATATATGAATGGTGAATCGAAATATTTCTCGTCATCTTCACTAAAAACAATCAAATTACTACTATCTACTTTTTTCATTGTTTATTATTAAAAAAAAAAAAATTATGTGAACAATTATTAGTGTAAACAAAATTTTTTTTTTTTTTTTTTTTTATGTGATAGATTTATTTATATATATTTATAATACTATTGATTATATAAATATTAATAACTATTATTAAAAAAATTATTACTATTTAAATAATAAAAAAATTAAAAAAAAAACAAAATTTTTAACCCCACTTACACACCAAGTATTTTTTTTTTTTTTAAAAATATTATTATAATAAAAAAATTAAAAATAAAAAAAATATTTAAAAATAAAAAAAATAGTTAAAAATAAAAAATAAAAAGTGATAATTAATCATTTTTGTGATTTCGACGAACTTTACAAAAAAAAAAAAACATTTTATTTTTTTGTTTAATTTTAAAAAAAAAAAAATAAAAAAAAAAAATATATTTTTTTTAACACTTAATAACCAAATATAGTTTTTTATTTAAAATCATGAATAAAATAAATATATATATATAAAATTTGATTTTTCAGAGAAAGAAATTTCTTCCACCTTTTTTTTTTTTTTTTTTTTTTTTTAAAATTATTTTTTTTTTTTTTTAAAATTATTTTTTTAAAAAAATTTAAAAATTTTTTGGTTTATTTTTTCATTCCTGTAAAAGATAATATATAATAATTATTTGATTTTTAGTTTTTATAATTTAATAATATTTTTTTTCATTGTTTTTTTTAAAATTTTTTTGTAGCAATAAATAAATAATAATAATATATAATAATCAAATTATAAAAAAATAATAAAATTCATTTATTTATTTATTAAATATTTGTAGTATTACAATTTTATTTTTTTAAATGTCTCAACAACAACAACAACAAATAAACAATGATTTTAATAATAACGAATCTAAAACTAAATTATTAAAATCTTTAAAAAATGAAATTGTTGATATTAAAATTCAACAACAGCAACAAAGAGATGGTTTGGATAGAGTTGAACAATTAATTAAACAAATTGACCAAATGCTTAAACAACACAGTGGCTCATTGGCCGAAGAAAAGCAAACTAGATCTAAATTAACACAATGGATTCGTGACAATCTTGGTCCTGACCTCTCTGTTATCGACGAACATATCGAAAATAAACATGTATCATCACTAGAAGATAAACTTAAGCAACTTTATCAAATTATGGATAAAAGAGTTAAAGAGCAAGATGAAACCAACGAAAGAAGATCCTCAGCCATTCAAGAAAGTTTTAAGTTTAACCAAGATGCCGTAAAATCATCACATAATAATTTAAATGAACAAATTCAAACCAATCACACTTCATACATGTCCAAGTTTAAAGATTTAGCAATTGAGCTTGACGAAAAGGTTAATTTCAGTGATCAACGTTTAAAGAGCACCGAATTATCATTAGACAAAAAGTTTTCTCAACAAGTAAATTCATTAGACCAACGTATTCGTTCAACTGAAAATGTTATGGACCAAAAGATTACCTCAAATTTTTCAACACTTGAAAGTCAAATTAATATCACCGAAGCAAACTTTGATAAGAAAATGACATCAGTTATCAATTCATTTGATCAACGTTTAACAACTATCAATGGCTCATTAGATGGTAAAATTACAACAGTTAATGGTTTATTAAGTTCACGTATCGACTCAACAATGACTAAAGCTTTACAAACTATTGATCAATATAGCAAAGATATTAAAAACGAATTCTCATCACTCAATGAAAAAGAACAACAACGTGTAACCCGTTTATTTGATAAATTGCTTTTAGATATTTCCAATAGTCGTTCAACAAGCGAAGATGAATTAAAAAAATTAAAAGATAACATTGACCAATTGGTATATAAAGAAAAAGAATCAATTCAAGAGTTTACTCAAACTTATATTCAAGATCAATGGAGAATTAGTTTTTTACCAATTGTTAATAATTTATCATCAAATTACTCAAGAAATGAGGTATGGATTTTTATTTTTTTTTTAAAATTTTTTTTTTAAATTCATATACCAATTAATTTTTTAATTTTAAATAGGGTAAAAGAATTTTTGAAGATTTAACAATGCTAATTCAATCTGAAATTAATCAAATCCAATTTGAATTCGAAACCAAATTAAGAAATGAATTACAAAAATTAAAATATGAAATTGTATCATTGGTTAACCAAAAATCTGATTCACTTTATCAAGAGCAAAAAGATTTCCTTAGACAAGAACGTCTTTTAAGAGAAGAGGATCGTAAATATTTAGAAACCTTAAAATCCACTATTTTCAACTCACTTAAAGATGCCAAACTCGAAAGAGATCAATTATCAAATCAAATCAATATTTTATTACAAGATAAAAATATTACAGTTACAAATGGTCAACAACAACAACAACAATCAAACGATTTGGTACGTGAAAATGATGAACTTTTATTAAAATTAGAATCAAATCGAAAACAAAAATTAAAAGAAATGGAAGAAAATGAAATTAAATTAAAACAACAAAGAGAGCATTTATTAAAGGAACAAGAAGATCTTGAAAATTTGGAAATTCAAAAAAGAGAAAATGAGGAGAGATATCAAATCGAACAATTAAAGCTTGAAAATATTCAAAGAAAGAAAGAGTATGAAGACCGTTTACGTGAAAGAGAAATCGAACGTCAAAAAGAAATTGATGAACTTTTAAGAAAACAAAAAGAAGCTGAAAAATTAATTGAACAACAAAAGGAAGAACAAGCCAATTTAAAAATTCAAAGAGAAAGAGAATTAAAAGAACAGGAGCTCATAAATAAACAAAAAGAAGAGCAAAGACTATTGGAAGAAAAGAGAAGAAAGGAATTAGAAGAACAAGACTGGAAAAAGAAAGAACAACAATACCAATTGGATCTAGAGCATGAAAAAGAAAAGCACCATCAATTAGAATTGGAACGTGAAAAAGAAATTCAAAATATTTTACAAGCTGAAAAACAACGTCAACAAGAAGCACAACAATTAATTCAACAAGAAAAAGAAAAAACCAAACAATTAGAACAACAATGGGAATTAGAGAAAAAAAAGATTGAAGATGAAAGAGAAAAATTAGAGCAACAAAAAGAAATCGAATTGGCCAAAAAGAAACAAGAAATTGCAGATTTTAATAGAAAACTTGAACATGAAAAGATTGAATTCGAAGAAAAAGAACGTCAAAGATTAGCATCCGAAGAGAATGACCGTAAACAAAGAGAACAACGTGACCGTGAAGAACGCGAAGAACGTGATAGAAAAGAAAGAGAAAGGGAACAACTTGAACTCGAAAGACAAGAAAAGGAAATGAATGAACGTAAACAAAGAGAACAACGTGACCGTGAACAAAAAGAAAAATTGGAACGTGAAAGAGAACGTGAAGAAAATGATAGAAAAGAACAAGAAAGACGTGATCGTGAAAGAAGAGATCGCGAAAGAGAAATTGAAAAAAAAGAAAGAAAAGATCTTCAAGAAAGAAAAGATCGTGAAGAACGTGATAAACAAGATCGTGAACGTGAAAGAAGAGACCGTGAAGATCGTGATAAAAAGGAACGTGAAGAACGTGATAGAAAAGTTCATGAAAGAGAAATTGAAGAAAAAGAAAGAAAAGAGCGTGAGGAGCTTGATAGAAAAGAACGTGACCGTGAAAGAAAAGATCGTGAAGAGCTTGATAGAAAAGAACGTGACCGTGAAAGAAAAGATCGTGAAGAAAAAGAAAGAAAACAAAAAGAAGATCGAGAAAGAAGAGACCGTGAACAAAAAGAAGAGGAGCAAGAAAGACATAGACAACAACAAATTGAAAAAGAGAAACAAAGAAAAGCTGAAATTGAAAGAGAAAAAGAAAGACAAAGAAAAGAAAAAGAAGATAAACGTGAAGAAAAAGAAGAACCAATTAAAAAAGCTAGAGGAGGTGGCTCTTTACCAACTATTCCATCAAAACCAAAAGAAGAAGAACAAGCTAAAGAATCAATTAAAGATACTGAATCAGCTAATAAATCATCAAATACTAAAAAGCCATTAAGTAAATCAGATTTACAAGAAAATCCAGACGTTGAATGTGATTTATCAGACTCAACACTAAGAGATGCTTGGTGTGATATTAGAGATGATGATACTGAAACCAATTGGATGCTTTTAGGTTATGGTAGTTATAAGAAAACCCTTCAGCTTTATGGCACTGGCTCAGGTGGTTTAAAGGAAATGATTAAGAATCTTAAAGAAGAAGTTATGTATGGTTATTTACGTACTGTTTATGGTGATTCAGATAGAGCCAAGTTCGTTTTCATCACATATGTACCAGACTCACTTAGTGGTATCGCCAAAGCCAAAGCAAATATGCATAAACCACATGTTGATAGATTCTTTAAATATAATCATGCTCAATTCCAAGTTATGTCAATTGATGAAATCTCTGAAGAAATTGTTCATGCTAAATTAAAAGCTGCATCCGGTGCTAATTATGGTAAAGGTACATCACCTGATGATACAAGTAGAACTGAAAATTTTAAGGGTATCAAAGAAAATGCTAAGGTGTTCTATCAAGGTACTGAAAAGAAAGGAAATGTAGGCAAAGGTGGTGGTGAAAGTATTGCTTATAATAAGGGACCACTTTCAGTTACTCCATTAAGTTTAACAGGCAGAGCTGGTATTACCGAAAAGTACATTAAAAGTGATATTAAACAAATTAAAAATGAAGATGAGCAGGTATATGTTAAAAAGAAGTCTTCAAAACCTGCAGCATCTGATAGATCCAAATCGCCATTAACTGTTTCTGCTTCCGATAAATCAGATTCTGAAAGTGAATTACCACCACCAAAATCTAAACCATCAGCAATTTCAAAACGTTCAGCCACACCAACTAGTGACATTGATTCAACAAGTAGCGAATCTGAAACAAATAACAAAGTAAATCCATTTAAAAAAGCTGTAGGCGGAGCTGGTAACAATAAAAGCAGTGGTAATAGTAGTGCCTCTAAAGATGAAGAACCAAAATCAAATGGTCCAGAAAGATGTGTAGTATGTAGTAAACTTGTTTATCAAGCTGAACGTCTTTCAACCGAAGGTAGAATTTATCATAAAGCTTGTTTTAGATGCAGTGTTTGTAATAATTCCGTTAAACTTGGTAATTATGCCTCAATGGAGTCTCAAACCTTCTGTAAACCTTGTTTCAAAAAACAATTCCTTTCAAAAGGTAATTATAGTGAAGGTTTTGGAAAATTAAAACCACAACATCAATTTAATTTAAAGAAATCGCGCCATACTAGTAGTGTGTGAAACTGATGACGATTCAGATGATGATATAAAGACGATCCAAGAAAAGAACAACAGAGGGAAAAAGAACGTAAAGAAAAATTAGAAAAAGAAAAAAAAGAAAGAGAAGAACTACAAAAAGAAAAAGAAAGAAAGGAACAACAACAACAACAACATCAAAAAGAAAAAGAAAAGATCAACATAAACAACATCTACAAAAAGAAAAAGAAAAAGAAGAAAAAGAAAGATTAGAAAAAGAAAGATTAGAAAAAGAAAAACAACAAAAGGAAAAAGAAAGAGAAAGAGAAAAGAAATTAGCAGAGTTGGAAAAGCAAAAACAACAACAAAAACAAGAAGAAAAAGAAAAAGATGAACCATCACCATCAAAAAATCAACAAAAACCAGATGTCTCAAATAAAGATGATGATTTCTTTTTATCAGAATATCAAAAGAAAAAAGAACAATTATTAAAAGGTAAATCAAATTCTTCCTCTTCAAACTCTCCAAATTCATCAAAATCAAAATTCACCTCATCACTATTTGATATTACAACATCAGCTGATGATGATGATTTATTTAAATAAATAAATAATAACAATTTAAAAATTATTAAAATTTCAAATAATAAATAATTAAATAATAAAATATGTATTTATTAAAAAAATTTCATAAAAAATCAAATAAATAAAAACAATAATGTTTATATCTAATAGTTTTAATTTAAATTTACTATGATCAATCAATATTATATCCTAAAGTTATTATTAATATTATCTTTTTTTTAATTTTTTTTTTTTAATTTTTTATATTTATCTGTGTTGTGTGTAATTAAAAATATTTGTTAAATAACATATAGATGTGTGAGTGGTGTGGGTTATTTATCAATTTCAAAATACTAAAAAATATAAAAAAAAATAAAATAATTAAATTACAATAATGTACTGATAACTGTAATGTTATTATTTTTCAATAATTTTTTAAATTATAATTTTAAAATTTCTATTTTTATTAAATTGTCGAAATTACTCTCTTTGGTTAGTGGTAAAAAAAGATTTTTGTTCTAAACTCGTTTTTTATTATTGTCAATTTCTATATTTGACTGTAAAAATAGATGTATATTGTCATATAAGCTTCTATATTTCCAATATTATTATTTACAATGAAATACTATTATTATTTTCCACTCTAATCTTTTTTATAAAAAATTTTTTTTTTGTTTAGAATTAAATCTTTTGTAGATTTCACATTTATAAATTCTTTAAAAAAAACCAAAGAATTATAATTCATAAAAATTTTAATAAATTTGATCTAATATCTAAATTACAAATTTGTAAACTTTTTAAATGAATTTGTAAAAAAAATAAATTACTTATTTTGAAAATTGTTTTTTTTAAATAAAAAAAAAAATAAAAAAAAAAAAAGTATAAATACTATTTTTTTTTTTTTTGATTTATAAATCATCAACTTCATTAATCAAATAAAACCACTTAAATTTAAAATGTCATTATTAAGTAAATATATATTTATCAATTTTTATAATTAAAAAATAAAAACTAATTTTTTTTTTCTAGATTCAATCAAAAATATTTTATATTCAAAAAGTAATTTATCAAATTATAATAAAAACAATAATATAATATTCAATAGTTTTATAGATATTCAAAATTCAAATATTATAACTGTAAAGAACCCATATACAAATATTGACAAATACTATGGATATAGTGCTCAATCAGTTTAAAAAAAATAAATAAAAATAACAACTCTTAATTTTTAAAAAGATTTTACTTTTTTTTTTTTTTTTTTTAATTTACAATTTTTAAAAATGATGATCACAAAAACCTAAATTTGAAATTTGTGTGTGTTTATTTTTACCCCCAATTGTGTGTTTTTTTTTTTTGTTTTTTTAATTAAAAAGTTTTATTTTTTTTTTCTTTTTTTTTTTCTATTATACCAATAAAAAATGAAAATTATATTTATATTTATTTGTTTTATATATGTTTGTTTATGTAGTAATTATTTAATAAAGAAACCAATTGTTTCAAGTTACCTCCCAGCAATTAGTAGTGGAGGTGATGTATCATTTTATGGGGAGTTTGAACATTATAAAAATATTACCATTACAATTGGTAATGAATTTTGTAAAGTTCAATATAATAATAAATATCAAATTATATGTTTTATAGGTACACTAAATAACAATAAAAGATATGATGTAAATTTAGTTACTAATAACAAATCATGGTATGCTAAAAACTATTATACTCCTTATGTTAACGGCTCCACTTGTATAAATGGTAACTCTCTTTCATGTATTAATTGTTTCGAAGGATGGGTTGGAGAAAATTGTGATCAACTAAAGCCTCTTAATATTTCATCAGTTCCCGATGTTTCTCATTTTGGTGGTAAGTAATATTTTTTATATATAAAGGTAATAAATAATTAATTTTTTTTTTTTTTAGGTTACTTTTATGCAAATGGTTTCTTTGGTTTAAATCCAGAAGCATTAATAGTATATATTGGAAGCAATAAAGCAAATATTACATTTGATTCATATGATATTATAGGAGGGAAAATATTACCAGGGGAAGGGTACCATGATATCAATATATACAACAAAATAAATAATCAACTAATATTCACAGGAAGAGATATGTTTTATTATAACCCAAAGCTATGTTTAAATAATTGTTTAGAAAATGGATGGTGCAACAATGGAACTTGTAGTTGTTACAAGCATTGGTATGGAAATGATTGCTCCAAATATAACTACAGTATTACAATAAATAGAAACTTTCCACAAAATATTTAGAATAGGAAAAATGAAAAATAAAAAAGAAAAAAAAATAGAAAAATAAAAAAGAAATAAAAAAAATTCATATGGATAAAAAAAACAACTAGTTTTTATAAATTCAAAGAAAAAATCAAATTTGATAAATATCCCCATTAAATGTAAAAAATATAGGAAATTTTTTTAAAAAAACCGTTTTTTTTTAAACCCAAATAAATATTTTAAAACTTTATTTTTTATTTTTTTTTTAAAACAACAATATTTTTTTTATATTTTTTTATTCCAATTTCTGTATATATTTTATCGCACAATATGAATAAATAAAAACAATGAAATTTCTTATAATATTGTTTTTTATCTTTTTTAATTTTTTGGTTATTAAAGGTATTTTAAAATTATTATTTAAATTTTAAAAAAAAAATTGTGGTGATTCTAAAAGAAATTTTTTTTATTTATAAATTAGGAACAACCGTGTTAAAATCTAATATTGTCGAAAAGAATAGTATAAATACATTGGGTGTTGAATATAATTATGCAATTGGCGATATAGAGTTATCAGATGAATTATATTATTATGATTGGGTATCATGCCCAAAGTATAGTTGTCCATATGAAATTAACCAAACTCTATTAAATGATTGTTCATGCGATTATACAGATAAGGATAATTGCCCCAAACAAATTGGTACTAATTGTGTTAACTGTGTAAACTATCAAGATATTTGTACAGGTGATTGGGAGGTACTTGATAAAACGAATTATGTTTATAATTTTTCAATCAATAAACCTACTCAATTTAGATATAAATCAAAAGAAAAAGTTTGTATGGGTCTATCATTGAAAATTAATTCACATGATGGTTATGGTACAGTTAAAAGTGGTGGTTATCAAAATTTAAGAACTGTTTCTGGACAAAAAAATATGCTTTTACAATTTTGCCCATTAGATTTAAATTACATTAGTTTAAGTAAATATTAAAATTATATTTTAAAAATATTTTTTTTTTCCCCTTTATATAATTACTAATTTTTTTTTTAAGATACTTGGACATTTAATACCTACTTTTTTGATATAACTCCACTTTCAGAAACATATAATTTTTCTTTAATTTTATATTCAATAGAAATCGATAATAATATATTGGACCCAGGTTACAGGTGTTACAACCATGAGGAACACCCAGGGGTAGGAACAATCTTTTGTTTAGATTTAGGCTATATTTCTATATCAAGTGGTATTAAAAATTATTTTATAGATATTTTTTCTCCAGACTTTTATTATTTTAATGCCCCAGCTTTACACACAACTCCTCATTTAGTTTTATATATATCTAAAAATTCAAGTAACAGGTTCCCAACATCGGAGAATTGTGATTGGAGATCAATGGACGAAGGTATATAATACATAAAAAACATAATACCCAAATTATTTTATTAATAATATTGTAAATTTCTTTTTATTTTTTTTTTCAGGCGATAATGATTTAATGTTATATTTAGAACCAATAAATAGTACCCACCCATTAAGAATTTATATTACTGTGGTTCCATCAAATTCACCTTCATATATTTTTACTGTTCAGAACCAAGGTAATAAATATCTACGTCGATTTTCAGAACTTTCTCCTCAATCAGGCTATTTAGTTATGAAAGGTTCATCAAAATTAGTTTTACCAAATGGTGTTACATATTTTACCCCAGCTATTTCATCAGATCCAACAAAAACAGCATTCTCACCATTATACCCATCAAAATCATTAAATCCTATTTGGACACCATCCAGTATTGTTGTTGGTGATGTATATAAATCAATTAAATTACAAGTACCTGCTTTAAATGAGTTTAAACCAAACTCTTATCAGTTTTCATTTATACTTTCAAAAAAAAATATTAATTTTTATTTTAAATATCAAGATTTCGAAATAATTAAAAATTCAACTTTGATTTTAGACTCGACTTTATACAACAAAGATGGAAAGGTAATTTTTTTTTTATTGTGTTGTGCCAAATTTTTTTTTTTTTTTTACAATTTATTAATTTTTTTTTTTTTTTAGCTTATTCAATTAGGTATAAAATTTGATCAAATTTATTCAAGTTTAGAATGTGATGTTAATGAATTTAAATTAATTATTGGATATATAAATGATATCAAAAAAAAATTATTAGGAACAAGTGATATTAGTGAATCAATAAATTTAAGATTCAATCTAGATTATTTACAATCAACTGAATTATGGATGAAGTGCAGAGACAAGGTTAACAGCTACTTTATTAAAAAACTTCAAACAGAAGAGTTATTGGTTAAAAATTGTTTACATTCAACGAGCGATCCAGAGTTTGCCACCAACCCATGTTGTAACCCAGCTCTATCATATTATCAATGCTGTAATCCTTCCCCAATTAATGCCACAGTTTTAAAGACTATTGATTACAATAACGATTTGATCAGTGATGAATGTTTTAGTGCTGAATGTACAAAATCTGTTTTAAACGAATATCAAATGACTCTATCGATTGTTGATGGATGCAGTGTTTCAGACTTTTCACTTTCCAAACTTGGTCTATCAACAACAAATATAATGAGAGAATGTAAGGAAGTATTAATCTCGCCTATTTGTTCAAAAGATTCGGATTGCAAAGATTATGGTAAAATAAAGAAATGTAATTTGTATACTAGAGAATGTATAGCCGATTTCGAAAGTATAGATAAAAGTTACATTAAATGTGTTTTAGAAAAATTATCAATTTCATCTCTTTTTTATCTTACAAATTCAACATCATTTAATAGTGATACAATCAATACTTTATATAATAATCATTTATCCTCAGATTGTATTGGTAGTAAATCAATTATGGATCGTTCAACGTACTCATATTCTTCACCCGCCTACATAGATAGATGCAATAAAAACTATGGTTGTCTAGATTCAACATGTATACTCATACATGATATTTGTTTTGATGTTTTAACCGAAATGCCTTTTGAAATAACTCGAAGCGACACTTGTGACAATTATGGTTTTTGTAAAAGTTTACCCTGCACCGATTCTTTTCAATGTAAAACCCAATGTTATGCGGAACAAGCTTCTTTTTGTGGTTATTGCACTGATGAAAATCTTACTCAGTGTCATAATTTAAATAGTGTTGCCAACCAAAGCGAATGCGAAACTCATAGTTCAATATGTTTATTACCCAATGGTGCAATTTTAACTGGAAAAACTGAAAAAGAATGCACTGAAAATTATGGAGAGTGTTCACATAATAATTGTGGTGATATTTCATGCACCTCTATTTTCGATGGTGTTGATTCTGGGTGTTTCACAAAAGATCCGAACGAAATATGCTTAAATAAAAATGGTAAATTTTTAGGCTCAAATTACTATGGTATCTGCTTACTTACACTTGACCAAGAAACTTGCGAAAATAATAAATTTGATTGGATAGATTGCGGCTCAAAATCAGTTGGAGAGTGTGGTGGGAATTCTTATTTTCCATTGGTTTGCACTTCAAAGTACTCTAGCAAATGTAACAAAGCTCAATGTGAGTCTATAGCGGGTGAATGTTCTGATAAATATTTCTTTTCACCAGATTCTAATCCATTTTATCCCAGTGGTATGGGTAAATGTATTCGTAAACACTCAAACCTTATAAAATCTGTTCAATGCAATTATGATGAAAATGATTCACCAGAAGGTTGTTACTATTATACTCCAGCACATTTTACAAAAGCGGTGTGTGAAGCAAATGTTGGTTCTAAATGGTGGACTCCAGCATTAACAAAAGAGGAATGTATTTCAAAGTATGGTTGCAGCACTATGTTAGACTCAAATTCAGCTGCATTACCATTTAATTTTAAATTTAATGAAATGAACAAAGAAATGTGTTATGGATGTGATGAGTCTTTTAATGAATGGGTTCAAAAGTATAATTGGACTGCTGGTACATGGAAGCCAGGTATTTACGTTAAACCAAAATGGATCAATAACCAATATATTTCAAATAAAATCAATCCAAATACATTTAATTACCAATTATTTTATAAATCTATTGAAAAAACTGTCGAATATCAAATAGCAGAGTTTTATCGTACCGAATCCATTTGTAGAAATGAAAGATCTCAGTTATCAATCGAACAAATAATTTGCAGTTGTAATGAAAACAATGATATATCTCAAGGTAATGTCTCACAATGTTTTCAATCATCAGTTGCACCTTTAATTGTTCAAACAAAAGTATGCACAGGATTGATAACCGATGTCATATTTGGTTTTGGTAAAGTTTTATTTGATGAAAATGCAATTAATCAAACATGCCAAACCATAACTTTATCTCATGTTAGTAAACAAGGGTATACATCATCAATTCCAGAATCTCTAGCATCAAATTTTGTATCTTATAAAAAACCACCAAGTTTTGCTCTTTCAAATATAAAAAATGCTATTATTGGTTATTTGATGAGCGATGGTATAATGATTCACTCGAGTGAAGGTATTAACGATGTGGAGATTTGTTTTATTAAATCAATATTGGGAAGTAGTGATGGTGATTTCCCAGTATTAGATGTTGCTCTTCAAATTAATAATCAAACATCACCATTAGAATTACCAAGTGGCCATATTAATAGTACCGATAGTATTTATATCTGTTTAATGGTCTCTAATGTTCCAAAAGGTGATCCAACTTACTTTTTAATTTCTCGTATAAATGAAAAAGATTGGAAAACTAAAACTAAAGAGCTTTTCGATAAAGAAACTAAGGCTATGATGTATATTTTAGCTGTAATATTTTTATTGGTTTCTTTATTTGGTTTATACGAAATTATAACTATAATCATATTTTATTTCAAAAAAATTATAATCCAATTCCAATTAATTCAATCATTAATTATAATTGTAACACTATTTATTTTAATTAGAACAATATATTTCTTTTTATTAGTTAATGGTAAATATTTAAATTTATATTTTGAAAAAAAAAATAAAAACGCGCACTAATATTATTATTTATTTTTTACTACTAGGTAAACTTCAAGATAACCCAGTATTAGATTATATTTTAGTAGTTTTACCCACTTTTATTTATTTTACAGCATTTAGTTCATTAATTATTTTATGGTACACAATCGTATTTTTAGTTTTAAGAAATAATAGTGGATCTGGTGTTGCAAAAAAATTGTATACAATTGTTATCACTGTTAATATAATATTATATTTATTCTTTATTGCCATTGTATTGGTATTCCAATACACTCCATCATCTCCAACAAATGATTGTGCTGGTCGTATTGTCATTGCGAATGAAGCTTCACCTTCACAAAAAGCGATTAGCTTAGCGTATGCTATTGTACAAGCAGGTCTTAGTTTGGTTATTTCGGCTGCATTTATTTATTTAGGCAGAAGTCTATATAAAACGATATCGACAGGTAAAAAAAACCTCTCAAATACTAAACACCAGAAAAAGATCTTTATATTGTCCGCTATATGTTCAATTGGTTTCTTACTACATTGTATATTTGTTATAGTGTTGGTTACTAATATATCATCTATGACTTTTAGCTTCATTGGTTTAATTATCACCGAGGTAATTCCAGTAGTTAGTATAATGTATTGTTTTAATCCAAATGATCAAAATAATAATAATAATCATAGTAGCAAAGATGGCATTAAAAGACATAAAAATGGTAAATATAAAGTTGGTAAATCTAAAAATTCCTCTAAACTTTCCGAAAATTGCTCTTCAATTTCAAATACCCCGACTACTGCAAATGAAACAACCAATTCTTCAGTAACACATAATAAAAATATTGAATAAAAATTTTAAAAAATAAATTTAATATAAAAATATTTATTTAAAAACATAACACTCTAAAAGTTTTTTTTTTTTTTTTTTTTTTTTTTTTTTTTTTTATAAATTTAATTATACATATTATTAACAAACATTTATTCCAAATAAAAAAAGAGCTATCTTTGAATAAATTAAATTATAATTATACATATGCAATGCCACCTATATGAACAAATTATTAAAAAAAAAAAAAAAAAAAAAAATTTTAATTATTTATTTTTTTTTTTTTTTTTTTAAATTTAAAATAATTTTTTTAATTTTTTATTTTTTAAATTATTTTATTTATTTTAGTTTTTTATTGTATTGATATTACATTGAAATGAAAAGAGATAATAAATCAATGGATAGAAAGTAAATATTTAATATTTAAAACAATTTAGCAAATAAATTTATGTTCTAATAAAAAAATAAAAAAATTTTAGTGTTAAAAATAGAAATATTTTAGGATATGAAGAAGAAGAAAATTTTAAAAATAGTTTAAATGGATATAATAATAATGACAGTGGTAAAATAAATTCAGAACAGCTTTTTTTACAACAAAATGATCAATCTATTGAAACTATGAATCAAAAAGTGAAAATTTTAAATAGGGTAATTATTTTCATTTTAAAAACAAACGACGATTTTTTTTTTTTAATAACTTATTAACACTTTTCTTTTTATTATATATAAAGGTTGTTTTAGATATAGAATCACAAGTACAAGAAAGTAATTCACTTTTAGATAGTTTAGATACAGATATGTCAGGTGCTCAAGCATTACTCTCAAATACAATGAAAAAACTTTCAGATTTATCAAAAACAGCAACAAGTGGTCATATGATAATGTTAATTTTCTTTTCAGTATTTGTATTTTTCTTAATTTATATGATCGTTTCATACACAGGAAAAAAATAATAATAAAACAAATTAAAATATACCATAAAACATTTGTAAATTAAAAATAATAATAGATAAAAATAAAAATAAAATAAAAATTACAGAGAATAATAAATTATTTATTTAAAAAAAGAAATAAAGATGTTATTTATTTGATATGATACTATAAAAAAAAAGAAAAAGATTTATTTACATTTTCTTTATTAATCTTCTTCATCTTCTTCATCATCAAATTCTTTTTCTTTTAATTCGTTTTTATAGTTGAGGTGTTGAATTAACATATCTATATAATCTATTGATAATGAACAAAATAAAGGGGTTGTACCAAATTCATAATGCGAGTTTTTATGATAAAACAATAAAAACTCTGAATTATATTCTAAAATTTGATGAGTATGTTGCTCCTCCTCTTTTTCCATTTCTTTATCTTCTTCTCCTTGTTGTTGTTTTAATAATTTGTCAAATTTGATTTGTTCAAATGAATCATTGTTTGAAGTAAAATATGGTGGAGCTATAAATCTGTAATTACTGTTTAATGATGAATATTTTGTGATGGCAATATTTTCAGAAATTTTAGAGTCTCTCCAAAAGAACCTAAACTCGGTTTCGCAATCGTATAAAATATAACCTTTCCATGCCAAGATATCTAAAATATAAAATGTGCCAGTTGCTTCTTCGTAAATACAATCTAAAATACAATATTGATTGGCGGGGTTTGCATGTTCTCTCGATTTTTCGCTTCCAAAAGGTAAAAGGCTTCTAAATTGAAAAAGAATTTCACCATTCTCACATCTTACAACTGTGGTATCATTTTGAGAAATAACTAGACATCTATAACCTAAGGGGACAGGAACACAATACCATTCTCTCTCCAAATTATTTGGAATAAATGTCATACCTTCAGCCAGCATTAAATGATTTGAATATAATAATACTTGCTTATTTTTCTTTTCTTCCTTTTGTTTTCTACTAATTTCTTTAAACTTGTTCTTTTTTTTATTTTTATTTTCTTTTTTTAATGATGATTTTATAATTTCATCTTGATTGTTATTTATATTATCTATACTATTATCTATACTATTATCTATACTATTATCTATACTATTATCTTCAATATTATTACCTTCTTCATCTTCCATTAAGATATCGCTACTACTACCATTTATTTCTTTATTTTCTTCATTTTCTTGTTGATAATTATGTTGTTGTAAAGATGGTAGAGATATTAAATTTCTAACATGTACTAATAAACTTCTTCTTTTTTCTTTTTGCCTATCTAAAAAATATTGAATTCTCTTTTCGTGTTCATTTGACTTTAATGATTTATATTGTAATTGCCTTTTCATTAAAGTTTCCTCTTTTTTAAAATTTGAACTTCTATCATTTACAAATGATGTATTATTAAATATATTGCTTAATAATTCATCGTCATTATTTTGATCGCTTTCGTTATCTTTATTCCTTATTATTAAAATAAATAAGAAAATTAAAAAAATGAATTTAAAAATTTTAAATTTGAAAAAAAAATAAAATAAAAATAAAAAAAAAATAAAAAAAAAATAAAATAAAAAAATTAAAATATATTTCTAAATAAAGGGTATATTTTATTTATTTTAAAATAAATAAATATATTGTAATAATAATTTTATATTTTTAGGTTTTATTGTTTTTTAAAAAAAAAAAAAATTATCTTTTTTTTTTTTATCTTTTTTTTTTTTTTTTTATTTTATTTTATTTTATTTAATTTAATTTTTATTTCTAATGTAAATTATATATTAAAAATAATCCTTTTTATTGAATTGAACATCTACATGAACCACCGCAACCTATTTAATAAAAAAAAAAAATAGGTTAATATTTTTTTTCTTTTTTTTTTTTATTTTTTTATTTTTTTTTATTTTTATATTTACCACATAGGTCACATCCACAACCACAACCTAAATCAAAAGAGTAATAATAAAATTTTAATTAGTAACTTAAAAAATTAAAAGTAATAAAAAAAAAACAAAATTGAAAAATTACAATCACAACCTCCATCTAAAACATAAACGACTCTTAAGTTTGAGGATTCATTAATATGAAGTTTCGATAATGATTTTTTATCATATCTACATGGTAATCTTTTATTGTCGATTTCAATCTAATTATAAAAAATTGAATTAGTTTTTTTTTTTTTTTTTTTTTTTTTTAATTACACAAAAAATATACCTACAACTTGATTTTCAATTGGAGTACCAGTTCTATCATATATTCTTGTTTTTAGATCAACAAGTGAAGTATGTTCTAAATCTATATTATCAAAATCAAATTCTTCGTTTGTATGATTTGGGAGTTGACAATTTATTTTCATTTTATTATTAAAGAGATTAAAAATTTTATTTATTTGAGTTTTATTATTAAATATAATTAAATTATTAAAGCTATGTATTTATTTTATTACTAATTGTATTAAATTTAATTAAAATACCAAATTTTATATTTCAATTTTATTTAATTTGAAATTAATTTTTTAAAAAAAAAAAAATTAATAAAAAATAAAATAATAAAAAAAATAAAAAAAATTTAAAATAATTTCAAATTACTATAAAAGTTTAGAT